TTGGAAGTGGTTGGAGTTCGAAATGACAGATTTACAGGACTTTTGTTTTCTCGGGAGCGACCTAATCCCATCAGCTAGTTCTTCAACTGCTTTGGTTAAAAAAACTTTCTTGTAATCTGCGAAGAATGAGTAAATTAGTTTTGAAGATGAACTTGATACAAAAGCAGGAAAAGATATCAAAAATGATGTTTACTTACATGACGGGTGATAGAGCGTAGCAACGACGTCTTCCCTATTCACCTCGGCAGGATGAAACTTCCATTACCCTAACATATAAAAAAATTCCTCCTTCCAATTCTTTATCGAAGAGGGAGTATCCAGCACTAATGAACCTCCAGTCCTAGGCCTAACACTGGCATACCACCAGCCATAATCTTTCCCGTCTTCCTTAAAGTTAAAAAGTGAGTTAAATTGGACAACACTTAGTTCGAGATAGCCAAATTCGCTCCACAATAATAAGGTCGATATCAAAGTCCTCAAACTGTTAGGGCAAAGTTGAGTTGGGGCTATCCCCCGGGATGAAAGAAATTGTCAAATTATCATAGGGAAATTTAGTATTAAACCAGAATTCAGAATGGTCGAATTCAGAGCTATACATCTGAATGGAGGAATGTTAGTGTGGTCAGATGCAGTTGGGATAATAAGCTCAACTGAATTGAGATTACTATATTTAGCCCTTAAATTGGCAAGCATGTCTTCAGTGACCACTGACCTATAGGAATCTGCCCCCCCATTCTTGGGTGTTTTCTTTATTGGCTTCCTGAGGTCTAACCTCTTCCCCTCCACGGTTCAACCCCATGTTCCTAGGAATGTCTAATTGTTTTGGACGGACTGAGGTAAGGGGATTGGCGTTAAAACTTTCGACAGTCCGAACTAGCGGAGGACAAGCTAAACGAAGGAAAGGATGAGGAGGGTACTGATTCCTCCTGTTGGTTACCCCAGGATTGTACCCTCGATTCGTCCGAACTCATATAAAATACCGAAGTAAAATGTAACACAAAGGAAAATTAAAGGTATTCTTGTTAAGGGAAATACCTGAATATAGACAACCTCACTCGAAAAGTAAAGAAGGACGCTAAGAAATTTTTTTTGGAGCAAAAGTGCAGAGAGGAGAAGCTAAAATGGAAAAGTGAAGTTGTGAAATTCATTTAGAGAAAAAAATACTAAAAGACTCAATTTGAACCGTAGGATAAAGAAATAAGGGAAAATGGGTGGCTGGGTCTAATTATCCAAAACAACGTCGTTTTGATGAAGCATCAGGAGGAAGAAATAAACCGTGCATCACAGCTCACTCACAAGTTACGATGCGACACCTGTTCACGTCATTTATTGCTGTAATGACAATAGAAATAGGAAAATGTGCCAAAACACTTTCAAGATCAGTCTGTCACTTAGGCAAGCACTGACTTGGAGGGTAACTGTTGGCATCTGACCTCCGAGGTCGATAAAGTGCTAATTGGTGTATGCAATAAGCCGAGCTAATGTGAGTTCAGTAAATGAGGTCAGCTCGGATTATGTAGTCTATCGAGGCCAAAGAGAACATAATGATGGAAGATATCTTACACATTGTACTAACGGTTAATTAGTAAGTGGCATATGTATGATCTTACAGCAGCGTCCGTCAAGTCTACCAATCATATGCTTTAGCTTCATTTCCTAAGTAATTCATTAATTGTTGGGGACCACCTGTTAGGTTAAACTCATGATGACTTGACAAGCCGAACTCGTTAACCAATCCAAATATGCCAGTAATGTACATTCTTAATTCCGTATTGTAGCTAATAAAATGGGGAAAACAAGATACATGCAGATTTCTCCTTATAAAAGGGAGGAGGAGGAGAAGAAAAAGGAAGAGGAGTCAGACTTCCACTGAAAAATACTCTTACATTTCATATTTCAAATATCTTATTGAGGGAAAAGAGTAAACACTTGTAGTTATAATCATAATTTACAAGTAGTTGTCAATAAAAATTCTTATTTCCATTTTAAGTTGGCTTGAATCTTGTTCATACAATTTTCGACGTCAATATAATGCTTAATACTTTTTATCGTTTAATATTTGACTGAAAAAAATATAAAATTTTAAGTTGATATTTGATAACTTTCATATCTATATGCATGATTGGCCAAGCTAAATTTTTTAAAGTGTTGATAAGTTGTAGACCTTATGAAATACATGAATAACAAGTGAGTTTAAATTTGGGGATTATTATATTAAACATAAACAACTGTGTTATGAAATACGTGGATAACAAACGAGTTTAAATTAGGGGATTATTATATTAGACATTAAAAACTGTGTTAGTGCAACCCTCTTTAAATAAATAATACTTATTGATTAAAATTTGAAATAAGTAAATTACTTACTTTAAAATTAATTAATGCTTTGCCGTTAAAATAAGTATATCCCAAGATATATTGGATTATAATGTTTAGGACCATTCTTGGTGTACATAAAAAAATTTTTTTAGTCAAATTTATAGACCAGACACAACATAGGCGGGACCCACATTTTTGGGAATATTTTATTGACAATGGAACCCACATCCATGTGATACATATGGTGGAATTCTGTAAAAAATTTTTATACACGTGCATTTTCCCTAATGTTTAGCCCATGTTTGACAATCATCAAAGCAAAATTATTTTTTTCTCAAATTCATTTTTAGCCACACATTTTTACAATAAAATATTGCTCACGTAAACTCAATATTTCTTTATACTTTCTAATAAAACATCTTTCGAAAAATCACAATTCCAAATCTGTGACAGAAATATTGTGGTTAAAATAGTATGCCCCAAGATATATAATTTAGTACAACCTCATTTCCATCAAATTTGAATTGGTACACCTTAAAACTCATCAACTCTTTATTCTAAGAAATTTAGTACAAACAGTATGATTATTTTCTCAAATTTAAAACTACTTTAATATAGTTATCTAATTAATTATATAATATTATTTTCAAGCAAAATTAATTAAAGAAAAAGTAATTGATTGATGATTATTCAGTCTAGTCAAAGTAGCCCAAGTTGACTGAGAAAGCCACCTGGCCCTCTTTTAATTGGGCTACTCTGGGTCATTTACATGTCCTTTAATTGGGTCATTTCCAACAACCTGTCACTTCACTCTCGTATAGGTTCATAAATCCAGCTTTAAGGTGTAAACCAATTCAAACTTGATGGAAATGATTAAACTATTTGTACATTCAAATGTGTACATTTTTTTTTTTGACACTCCTATGTTTCAAAAGTCTAGTCATTATTTGAAAAAGTGTTGTTAAAATCTTTGTATGGAAATTTGTCAACTCACTGACATGTCAAATTAGGTGTAAACAATGATGTACATGTAGCATGATTCTGATGGAAATGAGGTTGTCCAAACCCTACCTTCAATGCTATTTTGCCCATATTTGATTCAACTAAAAAAATTAATTTGAATTTAAGTCAAATTTAATAATTAATTTTAATCACATATGTAATGTGATCCACAACTTTTCAAACACACATTCAAAACCTGTTTGAGAGGCATTATTCCATCAGAAGTAGAAATTTTTTGACCGTTATTGTACCGAAAAGCAGGCTTTTTTCTGACATGCCTCTCACAAGTAGGCCCGGTTTTGTAGAGTAACGGTCACATTTCTTATATTAATGGCTGGAATAATGCCTCTCAAACAGGGGCTCAATCAACTTCTATCAAAATCTATTAAAAATCCGATTTTCGTATCTAAACCAAACATGGACTATATTTTATTATCTCAAGGCTTATTGAAGATGTAAGCTAATGTTTGGCTCATGTTTATAAACTATTTTATAATTACTCAAGTTACTTTTTGTTTATAAATTTCCAACGATTCAGAAATATTATCATTTATCTATCACTTATTTTTATTTATTTATGAACTTTTTATGAGCTCTAAATTTAATTGGATTAGTAAAATCTGGTATACATAGGCATAGCCCAAACACATTCTTTTAGTAAATTTTGATAAAAGTTAATGAAATGTGTGATTGAAAAGTTATGGGATCCATAAAATTAAAATTAATTGTTAACTTTAACTTTAATAAAAATCTAAATTATTGTAATCCATAGATCGGGAAGAGCTATGCGACTAGTCAACTAAGAATAGTCCAACTCATGTTGTTCTATGAGTCGATTCAAATCTAGTCCACGTTGTAATAGTCCAACTTGAGTTGTGCTATGACTCTATTCAAGAACGGTCTCTGGCAGTTCTAAGTCAATTATAGTTTATTAGTCTGTCGTTCCAAAGGATCAAAATTGGTAGACATAATTATGGCCGAGACTATTTCCTTGGCATGTTATGATCTTACGTTAAATGTTAGTCCAAAGAAATGTCCCAATAAATACTATCTCAATCACAACAACATTCGACATGCACTCAAATGTAGAAAAACCCACTAATCAGGAGTCCAATTTACTTTTTAACTACATTATTGCCTAAAAGGAAAAGAAAAAAGAAAAGTTCCCAAAATAAAAGAACCACGAAGAGAAACCTTTACACGCAGTAATATTGACAAGTTACATTAATGATCAATAATTATACGGATCTTGCTACGTGTATAGCAAAATTTACATAATGATTACGTAATGTTACGTAACACTCTATCATTTGCCAGTTTAAAACACAAACAACCTTTTCATCCAATTTTTCCATCTACATCATATCATGAAACTCATTATATACATATTTTTTTATGTACAAGTAGAAAAATCCTAATTATACAACCTTTTGTACCCATCTAACCCAATCACAATCTTAATTTAGTTGAGTTGGGGCGCTGCCTTACTCGAGTCACCTTGTCCGACTCCTCTATTACCCCTTCTGAGCCAATCTCCTCGACCTCTTGTTCTTCCTCCTCGTTGTCGTCGCCACCTCTTAAGGTTGCCAAAATCCTCCTCCTTGATGTGGTTGCTCTAACTCTACCTTAGGCCACTCTCCCAACCATCGTGACCAAATTAGGACTCAATACTTTTGTGATCATGACCTCCCAATTCGTGGCCTCGCCCGAGTCACCCCACCCTCCATTACCGCTTCCCAGTCCACATCTTCGTCCTCCTGTCCTTCCTCCTCCTCGTCCCTTTCTCTTAACATCACCAAAATCCTCCTTGCTTTCTCTCTTGCACGCTCACTTCCACTCTCTGCCACCTCTCGCAACACCTCGGCCACCCCCGCATCCCTCGCTAGCCCATTGAATCTCAAACTCCCGTGGCTCAACGAGTACAATGCCGCCACACAATTCTCCCGGGTCGACCCCGAACCCGACGTGTTCCCTTTCCTCAACATCCCCACCAAGCACTCCACCGCATTGGCATCCAACAAAGCTGACCGCCCCTCCGCACAGGCCACCAGGTTCACCACAACCAGCAACACCTGAGCCGCCACTGCCGGATCCTTCAGCAACCCCAACAATGTTCTCACAGCTCCAAGTTTAACAATCTTTGCTCTATTGCTCTGCACTAATGTCAAATGATACAGAGCCATGGCCGCATCGTGCGGTGTCGTACCCGATCCCGATCTCAGAGCGTGCAATAATGGTGGCAAAGCGCCTAGCACTCCAATTGCAGTCCTGTTTTCATCTTCAAGTGCCAAGCTGAAAATTGCCCCCGTGGCATGATCTCGTGATTCTTGAAACCCATTTTTCATAATGTCAATTAATAGAGGAATAAACCCAGCTCTCACAATCTTGATTTTATTGACTTTTGCAAGTGAAAGATTCACCAGTGCGGCGGCGGCGTTGGTCTGCAGGGCGGCGTACCGCGTATTTAACAACTGATTCAAAGCAAAAAGAAGCCTTTCCGTGCACAATGAAACTCGAGCTTCTTCATTAGTCCTCGTAATTTTCCTCAATAAAATCACAGCTTGTTCTTGCTCAAATACATCTAAACTCTTCATCATGTTAACCAAATTTTCATCCTCTGATGACGCAGAAGTTTTACTCGAAACCTCGTCCGACACGATAAATTCCGACGAGGTTGTCGTCGAAGATGAAGCTGAAAAGCAAGAGGGCCTAGTAGCAAACGGCAAACGGGGCGTCGTATTTGCAATCACAGATTCCTCTGAACTCGAACAGGAGTAAAAATTCGGGCAATTCAATTCCGAAGAAGCATGGCTGAATAAAACCGGAGGGGTTTCAGAAACACCGTCAAGCAAATCACTTTCTGAAACCCCAATTTTCGAATTATCTCGACTCATTAAACAGAATCCCATGGAAGAACTAATAATGGACTCAACTTCTGAATACTCAGGCGGATTCGGGTGTTCAAATCCAGCCTTTGAACACCAATTTTGGATTGTACTCTTGAGAGCTAAATTGGGAATTATATTAGTAAAATTCGGAGTTGAACCATCAGGCAGAGTCGGGGTGACCTCCAAATCTTTGCATACTTGAACAGACAAACGCTCGAAACTCTGGCCAGAGGAAACAACAACTGGATCGAACATCAAAGAATTCGAAATTGGGCAAATGAATTCTTGGGGTGGCTGTTTTTTGTTGTTGTCAGACTTGAAGAAGGGTCTGTGAAAAGCGAGTTTCCATTTGTGTAGTTTCTTGCCATTTCCACCCATTTGTTACTCTCTACTTTGCAGAGTGAAAAAATGGGTTCTTGGTTAGAAGATTTTATGATTTGGGGTGATGAAATTCATGATAAGATGGTGAGTTTTGTGGGAGGTGATCGGATTGTTGAATAACATTTTTGGAGATATTCAACATTTTTGGAGATTAGGTTTATGTGAAGATGGGTTCTTTTTGATGAAGACCATGCCACGAGGAGACTCGGTCGTTGCCTGCACGTGCGCTCATGAGCATATCTGCCAGTGCCAGGTCGACAATTTGTCTTGTTACTGGTCCATTTCCACATGGGTCCCCACTTCCACAGAGTTGATTTGAGAATGAGGAAATTACACTAAACAAGGTATTTAGTTTTGACTTTTAAAAAATCAG